CGGCTCGGGTAGGGGTGCTGGCGGGGCGCCCAGGTCCTGGAGGTGGGCGCACTGGTTCTTCCGCCACTGGAACTCCCGGCGCTGCCGCTGCCGCTGGATGCGCCTCCTCGGCCTGACGCCGCCGTGCTTGCGCCTGCCGCGCCCTCGCCACGTCGTCTCCGTGGCGGGGCTCGGCGCCGCCCCGGGGCTACTCTGCAGCGGCGTCTGCGCGCTCGGGCTTGGAATGTAGGTCCCAAGGCAGGCCCGCGAAGCAGTTCAGCGCGTCTAAGTTGAACCTCCGCTCCTTCGGCTGCCTCCTGATCGCGCGATGGCGGCTGGTCTGCCGCGACCCGCCGACCGGGCGCTCGTCGCTTTTCTCGGTCTTGCCATGCCAGACACTCAAGCGCCACTGAGCATCTGCCTTCTGCGCGCGGTCGCCCGGCACGCGGGCCCAGACAACTTCTCCGAGCGCGGCCACCTCCCCGCGGCACGGCCTGCCCCGATCGACGCGGCAGGCCGTCTTGCCCGCGTCCTGCCTGACAGCAAACCGCGCGAGTAGCCACCCAGCGCGCCTGATCACCCATGGCATCACCCTGTGGAACACGAGGATGCGCGCGCCCATGCCCGACTCGAGCTGGAGCTTGATCACGCGGACCTGCTTGGCCACCCGCTCGCCCATGGCCTCACTGAAACCCATCGACGAGTGGCCCCTGGCGGGCGCTGCCGCGAGCTGGCACTTGAAGCCCTTCAGCTTCCGCTCCTCGGAGATCTGCTCGGCCAGCGCCTGGACTGCCGGCCCCCGGTCGGCGCGCGGGATGCACTCCGCGACGCCCCAGGCGTCGACGGCCGCACTCGCTGCAGTGGACATGAAGCAATGCATGCCCTTAGGCCCCAAGACCGCGCGCACCGCAGTAGACTGGCGGTGCGCCACCAGCAGCACGTTGAGCAGCCTCTCCACGCCGTCGCCAGCGACTGGGCCCACCAGCTGCGGCACTAGGACGGCCTGGTCGACATGCTGATCCGCCGGCGCCAACCACGCCATGCTGTCGGCCGAGGCCGCCAGCCCCTCAGCTGCGACCACGGCGCCGAGCTGAGCTGCAGGCAGTCCATCTGCACCTCGTCGACGCTGCAAGGCCCGCCGCCCTGTCGGCGCAGATCGTCTGCCGCCTTAGCTGGCGCGCACTTGTCGCGCCAGCCTCGCGGTGGCAGGTGGGCGAGCTCGTGCTTGTCGACCTCCTCCTGGCCGGGGAGCGGCGGCGCCCGCTTCGCCGCGGCCGGCGCCTCGTCGGGGCCCGGCCCGCCTCTGCCAGCGGCGCCTCCTCGCGTTGAGGTTGCTCGGCTGCCACGGGGGCTGTGCCACGAGCGCTTCGGCCCCGACTGGGTTGAGCCGCAGTGCCTAGGACGTCGTCGCGGTGGGCCACGCGACGCGCCCTCGCATCCAGAACAGGTTGTCCTGTCGCACCAGAGGCGCGTTGGCGATGCCCTCTGGTGGGCTGAGCGCCGCGGACACGATGCACGAGCCCGCCGGGGCGGGGAGAACAGCACTGAGTGGCCGTTGTCGCACGCCTCAGCGACTCCCATGATGGGGTGCGAGACGTCGGCGACCCGGCAGTCGATGCCCACTCCGCGTACATCTAAGCTGTCCAGCAGGTCGCACTGCACGCACTTCTCGCCGCGGTGCTTCTCGCGCCTGTTGTCCGCGGCGCGGGTGTCGTAGAGCTGGGCAGGCCCACGCATCGCCACGCTCGGGGCGCGGCTGCGCGGGCACGTCGCCCTGGAGGACCCCGAGTCTTCCATGATGTACTCGTCGCAGCACTCGCCGTCGCCCCCTGGGCCGCCAACCCGCGGGACTCGCAGCGCCCAGATCCGATTCACGGGATCCGCTGCCTGCGCCGCCAGGCGCAGCACCCACTGGATGGCGGGCGCGGGGCCCCCCGCGGCCCCGCCACCGCTTGGGCTGGCGCTGCCGCCACTCGGAGCGGCCACTGAGCTCGCCGCTGACAGCTGCGCGGCGGCGGCACGCGCCTGGGCGACGCTGCTCGGCACCACGGACGGCGCGCTCGACGCAGCTGGGCCCGTCGCAGGCGCGAGCAGCTGAATCAGGTTCAGCACGTCCTTCAGATCGATCGCCTTGCTGGCGGCGCCGTCCACACTCGTAGTCTCGTCAGGGCAGTCTCTCATCAGGTGGCCCTTCTGATGGCACTTCCTGCACGCACGTGCCTCGGCGCGCTGGACATCATTGCCATCTCTGCTCTTGCCGCCCTTCCGCGCCCATCGCTGGGTTCGGGAGCCCCTGCTTCCGTCGCGAGCTCCCTTCCCGCATCCCTTCGTGCCGCCGCACGTTCCTCCTCGTGCCCCCTTTCCCCTGCCCTTGCCCTTCTGGATGGCGCGCGCGACCGTCGCCACCTCGGTTGGCGCCATCCCTCATGCTGCCAACGTCGCCGCCAGGGGTCCGATGTCCATCGGCGCTGGCCCGCTGTCGCCCGCCGCGGCGGCCCCCGCTGCGGCGCCTCGTGCTGCGCCCCTGAACGTCTCCCCGTTCGTCGGGTCCGTCTCCGCGCGCTTCGCGATTCCGTCGTAGTCCCCGAAGCGGTCGGCGTTGACCATCAGCCACTGCTGAAGGCCCCTGTCCTGGATCCCCGTCACGAGGATCGCCGCCTTGATGTCGATGGGCACTGCGCAGCCGCGCCGCTCGCGCGCCTGGACTGCCACGTCGAAATCGTTCACGTCGGTCTCGGCCGTCGCCGCTTCGAACGTCCACCCCGTCAGCTTCCCCGTCCGACCCAGGGCTGACGCCGGCTGGTCGGGCTCGAACTCCTTCGCGAGCTTGCGCCACACCAACAGTCCTTCGCCCTTCGGGATCGGCCGCTGCATGGCGACCGCCTTGCCTTCCAGGAGCAGCACGAGCACGCGGCACAGCTGCCGAAGCGCGCCGACGAGCGCTGGACTCGCCAGGCCCAACGCGTCGTTAGTGACGTCCTCTTCGGCCATTTGCACGACCGCGATGATCTCTTGGCACAGCTCGTCGTCGAGCGCCGCGATGCACGCCGGCAGCTCGAACGACCACGCGGGCCACGCCGCCTCGCCGCCCATGAACTGAGCTGGCTTCGTCAGCAGCTTCGCGTCGATGATGCCCCACTTCCGACGATCCTCGCTCCCCGCTGGCACCGGGGTCGCCGCCGCGGTGGCCCCCGCGGAGGTCAGCTGCTGGAGCGCCTGCTGCAGCTGCTGAAGCTGAGCGTTCTGCTGTCTTGCTGTCGTCTCCGCTCGCGCCTCCAGCTCCTGGGCTCGCTTCTCCGCAGCTTCCGATCGAGCCGTCGCCGTCCGCAGTGCGTCCATCACCTGCTGGGCAGTCGGCTGCGGCTGCGCCGAGGCCCCTGCTGCAGCTGCGCCCGCGGCTGCGGGCTCGCCCGCTGCCTGCTGCGGCGCTGCCGCTTGCAGTTCCTCCTCCATTTTTGCGCCTCCACGCTACGAAGGCCGCGTAGGCTTCGCTCTCGTGGGGCATGAAAGAGTGACCGTCCTCGTCTACGCCGTCGAGCGGCCAGGCGTGGCCCAGCTCTTTGTCGAAGACAACGTCCCCGAACACGCGACGCGTGAAAGTTGGCAGGTCGATCTCGTGCCCGACGATCTTCTCGACGAAGCTCAGCGTTGACTCCAGCAGCCTGCAGACGTCTCCGCGCCGCTGCCGTCGCCAAGAGGCGTCCTCCGACCGCCACCGCCCTCGCTGCTTTTTGCGCCCCGTCGCTGTGGCGCCCGCCGAGGTCGCACCTCGGCCCGCAAGGGATCTGGGGAGTGCCCTCCGCGGCCCGCGGTGTTCCCCGCTGGGCGCTGGGCCGCCCTCCGCAGCCCGTTGTGTTCCCCGCTGGGCTGCTGGGCTGGGCGGCTGCCCTCCGCAGCCCGCGGTGTTCCCCGCCGGGCTGCTAGGCTCGCACATCCGACGCTGAACCCGTGGATCCTCAGGCCACGGGATCCGCTACCATGCGCGGCACCCGCCTCGGAGCCGCGATCCATTTTGATCCAAGAAGGCTGCGGTCCTGCGCCCTCACAACATCCCTAAACCATATTCATAGCTCTGGCAGTTCGACACGCGGCGCGAAAAACCCGTTTGGCAGAATGTGGTGGAAAAACTAGAAAAATCGGAAGCCCAAGAATCCGCAGGACAACGAGCGCAGGATGATTTGAAAGTTTGCGTTTCAAAACCATATGTGTTTATCTGTTCGGGACACTCGTTTGTGCGCTCCGACGCCTGCGTGTGCATTTCGTCCCATTTGCTGTCAGGAATTATTGAAACGGTCAGGACTTATTGAAACGGTCCGATATTTGAGAAACGAATGCGCGCGCATAGCATGTTTTGAAGAGGATGATGGGGGGAACCGATACAAGCATTCTTGGGATGGCACGAACTCATATTTAGGATGGACGCTGGGGCTGAACCATATGTTAAGTAAATACGAAAAAACGGTCCGTTGACCCGGGGGGTAGATCCTAATATTATTTTCGACCGGAGAACCTATGTGGCGCAATCTACGTCGTGCAGTCCAACGGCGGTGATGGGGCGGCGACGAGGCGGCGACGGCGACAACAAAACCGGTAAACCGCCACACTGGCCCAGACGACGGGCGGCGACGAGGCGGCGACGGGGTTGCGAGGGGTGGCGACGACGACAACATAGCCGCCAGACTACCACAGCGGCCCAGACAACGGGGCGACGAGGCCGCAACGGGACTACGACGGCGACAACATAGCCGCCAAACCGCCACACCAGCCCGAACGACGGCCGGCGACAAGGCGGCGACGGGGTGGCGACGGCGACAACATAGCCGCCACACCGCCACACCAGCCCAGTTCCGTGGAACAGAAGTAAGAACCCCCAAGTACAAGCACTGCTAGGGGAATATGCACACGTTCTGGCCCCAGGGAGGCCGAACATATCCATACCCACCGCCGGACGAGGTCCCCGAACCTCGATGCCCCCGGCGGCAGCACTTCTGGACACTCGGCGTTCGCCCCCCCCCCCCGGCCTGGGGCGCCCTCTCCCTCAGGCAGCTCCTGCCCGCCAGCACGCAGCGGCACTGCCACTGGCCCGCCCTGGAGATGCCGAAGTACAGCTCCTGCCCGCACTCGGGGTCGCGCTCCGCCCCGGCGGCGCAGGCCTGGTCCGGGCGGGCCGCTCGGGCGCGGGCGCGCCCCGGGGCGGGCGGCACGGGCAGGCTCGCGCCGCGAAGAAGCACGACGGGAGGCCGACGGCTGCCATGGGGCCTCGGGGTGCCCTCGCCAGGCCCCCGGGAGTCCAAAAAAGCGCCGGAGCAGCGAGGCCTTGGGACAAGGGCGGGACTCCTCGGGGGGCCCGCAGGGAGAAAGCAAGGCATGGCACGTCTGGGGAGCAGGCACCGAAGAGGAGCGATGCGCCCCCCCCGGGCGATAAGCTGGCAGGTCGGCCGGCGCAGGCGGGAGCGGCGGCATCGCTCGCGGGCCAGCCTCGTGCCGAAGAGCCTGGCCCGCCGCTCTCCTCCAGTGGGCCCGCCCCAGCCGCGCTGGCGCTGCCCAGACCATTTCCTATCGAAGGTGCCCAAATCGGCGGAGCCCTCCCCGTGCCGGCAGAGTCGCGGCTGCATTCAGGACGTTCCTCTGCCCTCTGCGCGACTCCTGACGTTCACGATTGCGCTGACCTGCTCGTTGCCCGAACATATGATACCTGCCCTCGCTATCGCATGTACCTGCAGATGCACATAAGCCTTGTTATCCCCTGCCTCCTTCTGAACTCTACACTTAATTCGAGCTCTTGCAAGCCATCCCTTGCTTCCCTTCGGGGAGTCAGCGGCATCCATGCTACCCTAATGCAACCTCCTCGGTCGGATAAGCACCAAATGACTAAGTATGCATGTTTCTGGTCCTAGGCCAAAGGGCAGCCAAACGATCCCGATCCTGGGGAGAGGACTCCACCTCGCTGCCGGTGAGCTTCTTGCGGTCCACGCCCCAGGCCCCCGCGCAGAAGTAGCCTGGAGGGCAGAGCCGGGCTACACGCGCCCGAGCGCCTCCCGTGCAGCCCCCGCTGCGAACACCCAGGCCAGACCAGTGAATCTGGCTCAAGGCTCGAGTAGGAGATCAGCTGCAGAATTGGTCTACCGACAAATGCACTCGTTCCTGGAAGCTGCAAGCAGAACGTATATAACGTCCCTGCCTCTGGAGGGAAGGAAGCACCCCTCGTAAACTCAGCGAACAGAAGGAGCGTCGGTACCTCAATGCTGCAGTCGATCTCCTACTCGACCGGTGCCTCCGCTGTCCCGCGCCCTGCCGGAGCCCCTATGGAGCCCTCCGGGCCTCGTGAGGGTGGGGCCTCCGAAGGCCGCCGGTAAACGCCCCCGACAGGCGGGCGCCGCCCGGGGCGCAGGGCCCCCCCCCGGCGGCACCCAGTCCTCGAGGAGGGGATCGACTGGATGCTAGAGGCCAGTTTTACTACATGGGATTTTAAAGATATATTCGCGGCGGCATAACTTCGACCCAGAGCCAGCATCCATAGGGGAACAAAAAGGGGCACAAGCATGAAAACACGGAGGTCCGCGCGGATTTCTCGGATCCGCGCTGGACCCGCCTCCCTGGCGCGCGGAGCGCGCCAGGGGCGGTGCCGGAGGCGCCGCCGGGGGGGGCCCAGCGCCAATCCGAGAAATCCGCGCGGACCTCCGGATGCTAGCCCTGGGCCGAAGTTATGCCGCCGCGAAGGTACTAACCGTTCGGGGGTTCTGCTGAAGCAGCAGTGGTCAGGCAGATCCATTCTGCAGTCGATGCCCCACTCAAAAGCTGGAGGCGCGAGTGGGTGGCCTGGAGGGGCCCCTGCGATCCGACGTCGCGAAGCAAGAACACAACACCACGAAGAATCTCCACGGGAGCGCTCGACCCAATCTTTCTGCTGTACCTCTTGGGCCGGCTCTATCCACCAGGGTCCTGGGGCCAGAAACTGGGCGAAATCGCCCACGGCGAAAAATTCGACACCAGGATCTCGGGTGGGGGCAGGTGAGCATGCCACCAGCAGCGAAAGAGAACACTGCATCAACGCAAACTGTCGGAGGTCCGCGCGGAGTTCCTGGATCAGCGCTGGGCCTCCCTGGCGCGCGGAGAGCGCGCCAGGGGCGGCGCTGGAGGCGCCGCCAGGGAGAGGCCCAGTCCCGATCCTAGAAGTCCGCGCGGACCGTCGCAAGCTCATGGTTACGCCGTCCTCCCTTCATCGATCTAGGCCCCCTTGACTACCCACCAGACCACCCCAACCCAACCCGAAGGCCCGAATTTCGGGTTGGGGGGGGTAAGGGTTCCACGCGTGTTTTTTCGATGTTCCCCGCCCCCCCCCCCACTGGAAATCGAGGGAAAATATGAGCCTTCGCGTTGGGTTGGGGTGGCTTGGTGGGTGGTGACCCCTGGAGTGTTAGGGGGACTCCTTCGGGTGCCGCCGGCGCCGAGCCCAGCCCGGCCAGTCCCAGGGGCCCTGGACTCGAGCGCACGCTCCACGAGACGACTGCCCGCGAGCCAGCGCCTGCCTGACGAGGAGGGCTCGGGGCTCGCTGCCTCGACGCCTGCTGCAGCGGTCCTGCGGCTGGCCTCTCGTGCGGCGGGCTCGTGGCGGGCCGACCCTGGCGCGGGCCTCCGACACCGCGTGGGTCTCGGGGGTCTGCTGCAAGTTGGGCGTGGCTTCATGGGGGGGTCATAAATGGGGGGGTCAGAAACGGTCCCCTTTCGTGCCCCTTTCGAGCCCCTCCGGACCCCCAGGGGGCTCGTTTAGGTACCGTTTGGGTACCTTTTAGGACCACCCTCGCCACCCCCCCATTTATGACCCCTCCATTACGCAACGCCCAAGCAAGATCCTGCACCCCAACCCCGGGTCAAGTGCGGAGGGACCTGCCGGATCCTGCAGGATCCTGCACCCAGACCCGGGTCACTGCGACCCCGGCCGTGCGCAGGACCCTGCAGGAGCGGGCGCTCTGGCGGACCCCCGCTGGCATGGACCCCCGTCTCGAGGCTCCCGAGGATCGTTCGCCCTCGAACGACCGGCAGCTCTTCGACCGCCAGGTCCTTCCGTGGTGGTCGATCCTGGGCCCCCCGTGGCGGCGCTCGATCTTGAAGGGGCCTTGGGACGCACAAGTGAATACACACAAATCCCAGGATCCCCCCTATCTTCCCATACTTCCTGGGCTTTGGCCTTCCCCCCCCCATTTCCCATATGCTCCCACACCTTCCTGGGGAACCGACGATATTACTTGTGTCTGTGTATGCTGTCCCCTCCCGAGATCTGCAACGCCCGTGGCCTCCCGAGCGAAGCGAACCCCACCCTCCCCCTCAGAAATCGTGGGGGGCAGGTGTACACCCTGCGAAATGCTTAAGAAATCATGGGTCAAGAAATTCATAGTCTCAGAACTTGAGTAAAAACCCAAGAGTTCTATTAAAATCTTAAGGTTTACATTGAAACGTTAAGAGTCATCGAGACTCTGGCCGAAAATGTAAGTTTTATTAAGCATCGCCTAGAGTGTAGGGTTCGCATGTGGCCCCCTCTTCGCGGCGCGTGGAGGCCCTTGGATAGAGAGGCCTCCTGGATGGGGTCGGAGAGGATCGCGCCGCATCGGCGATGCGTCGGCGGCGCATCGACGATGCTACCGGCGATGTATCGGCGACGTCGGCGACGCATCGGCGACATCGGCGTTGGGAAAATCGAGCTCCGCATCGAGCCGCTTCGCCGATGCACCGGCGATGCGGTGCGATCCTTCGACTCCGTCTGCTCCGACCCCATCCAGGAGGCCTGGATTGGATCAATGCTTGATGGCCCTGGGGTCCTGGGCCCGAAACTGCCCACGGAGGTCGAGATGGGCCGAAGGCGTGGTTCCTTCGGAGCTCTGGGAAAGCGTTCGCCCTCGTCCTGGGCCCCAGATATCTCGAGCACACGCCAACATGGACTACGGACCCGTGGATCTAGCGTGTGAGTGACAAATCCACGGATCGTGGGGAGTGCCCCCCCAAAACACGAGGTCAGGGCCCCATGATTTGGCGACGGCGCGCGCCGAGCTCGTCGCTAATCCACGCGAAGCATATCCATGTTTGCGCTGCCTCGACTGTCGGGCATGTTGAAGCCAGCCAGGACTCTGGCTGGGATGTCTGTGGGCAGCCCGAACCCTGAGATCCGACATTTCGTAAAAATGAGAAACGTTGCGAAAAACCGCCTCTGGAGCCCTGGGCCTGAACTTCCTGTGGCACTCTTCGCCTCGGCTCCATCTGCGAGGGCCCTGGGGCCCGAAGTCGAGAGAAAGCATCGCCCCCTGCAAGAGAAAGGCAAGGCCAGGATCTCAAGCGCGTCGGGCCCCCGCTGGGCTCGGCGCCGGCGCCCGGCGCCCCCCTCGCAACCCTCGTGCTCCACGCTGGCCAGCTCCTTCGCCAGCTCGGTCCCCAGCGGCGTGTCGGGGTCTCGCAGGGGCGCGGAGCGCCTCTCGGGGCGGACGGCTCCGAGCAGAGCGCGCCGCTGGATTCCCCAGAGGCGGCGGGGGGGACCCCTGAGATCCGAGCGTCGCATACTCTCATTACACAGGGCGTTCTCGTCCGGCTTCGGGCCCCGAGACCGACTCAGATAGACATGGCTCGGCTCTACGGTTCTGGTGGTGATAATTTCGAGATGCTGCTCCTCATATCCTAACATGGAATTCTTGCTATTACGTATATCCTTCTCTTCCTCCTCACCTCCTCCTCGTCCTCACCCAGGAGTGACTTAGTCAAATTCGGGTTCACTCACACGTAGTCGTACTCTCAGTCACTCACACTCAGATTCACTCAACCTCAGACTCAATCATACTATGGCTCCCTCATACTTAGGCTCAGTCATAATCAGACTTACTCAAACTCAGACTCAACAAAACTCAGCCTCAATACGCACAGACTTACTCACTCTCAGACTCACTCATATTTAGACCCACTCGCTCTCGGACTCAATCACACTCAGAGTAAATCATAGTCATGTCCCTCTTGCACTCACACTCAAAATCACTCATAC